TACACATCCCAGCCTTCAAACAATGCCCTGTCCACCTGCTCAGGGGCAGCTCAGCCCAACGAATACACCACATTAAAGACGGCCTTGATGAGGGCCCAGGCTGGGGTCACTGTCGGGGAGCAGCAAGCTAAAATTCACTCCAAACGACAAGCGCAGGAAGCAGTGATGATCAACACTGGCAAACGACCAAAGCCCTGTCCTCCACCTGCTGCTCACATGGACGTGAAAGCTCCAGAGCACAGCCAGATGATGTCAGGCCAGCTGCTGCCCACCTCCTCAGGTGTCATGACCAGGAATAACTCAGAAAGCAGTGGTCCCCTCTTCTCTACCAACTCCTTCATGAGCTCTCTGGTACGGCCCTCTGATGGCCACTGTCTCCCTCAGGGAGCTCCTGAACAGAACCAACCAAGTGTGCTCCACCTGCCCCAGGGTCATCTGCAGCATTCTGTCAGCCAGCCCGGCCAACATCTGAGCGGTAACCTTTACATGAAGCAGCAGCAGCAGCAACAGCAGCAACAGCAGCAGCAGCAGCAACAGAGGCAGCATCTGTATCATTTGCAGCACCACCTGACCCAACCTGACCCTGCACACCGTCACTCACTCCACCAGAGGGCGCTGCAGCAGCAGCAACAAGAGCAGCAACAACATGTCCAGAAGAAGCGGGGGCTTGTCAGAGGCAATCAAAACGGTTCACCTGCCGGTCTGCAACAGAAACAGCACCACCTAGACAAGGCTGTAGTTCAGCAGCAGCAGCAGCAGCAACAACACGCGCATCAGCAACAGCAAACACATCAGCAGCAGCAGCAGCATCCACAGACATCCCACCAACAATCACAGCAGCATCAACAGCCAACACAGCACCAACAGTCTCATCCTCAGCAGCATCAACAGCAGTCGCAGCATCAACAACATCAGCAGCAGCAGCAGCAGCAGCAGCAGTTACAGAATTCCCACTCCAGACACCAGCAGCACCTGCAGCAGCAGATGCAACAGCACCAGCAGCACTTTAGACACCAGGAAAAGAGCTGTGAAGCTCAGTCAGCAGGATCCAGGGCCCATCACAACAACCACCTGGCT